TCCTTTCCTTGTGGATCAATCAGCATCTGCTGAGAAGAAGAAGAGCAGCTTGAAGGGTGATTGATTTATGAAGTGGTATGTTGGGCATGTCTTTGCCAGGCAATCAGAATGAAAGTTCCTGCACTGTTTTTCCCGTGGGCCAAAAGCAATGCTTCAGCCAGTCAGGTACCCCAGTGTGTCATTGCTGTAGTAGCAATAATGATTAAAAATAGCCTGTGGCATCCTGGGTACGTGGCAGCGCTGTCTTTCATCATCTGATGGTTTCATTGTCCTTTTCAATGCATTCTGCGAAGCTCCTTCGCACTGGGCAGAACAAAGCCTCTGTGCTGGCTCCCTGATATTCCTGTACTGGAGTATTTCATCCTATAACAAGGCAAACAGATCTTTCTGAGCACAGTGCAGAGAAGGTAATGGGGAGTACTTTGGGTGCTCTGTTACAGATGGATGCACAACAAGGAGCCTATTTGATTAACATTGAGATGACTTTTAATGTGCAAGAGAGCTGTCTGAAGAGCCTGCAACCTGTCCCATAGACCACTGCTGGCTGGTCACTGCTTTCCATATCCCTATTCATCCCCGTCTGTTGTCTTACGGTTCCTTGCAATGTCTTTGGGGTAGAGACCCCCTTCTTGCGATGTGCTGCATGGGCTCAGTGGGTGCTTTGCTGAGGCCTGGGCCACGCTGGGGACTTCTGGCCATTGACAGCAATAACTGTGGCAACAGTAATGATTTGGATGCTCTGAGCTTTGTTGTAGCCTGGGAATGATTCTTTAGAAACACCTGGGTTAGCAGCAGCAGTTATTTAGTGGTGAGGCTTATGAACAAGCTGCTCTTAGGGCTGGAGTAAATAGCATGATGATTTAACAGTGTCTGAAGGTAGCTTGTGGACACCGCCTCAGAGAAACACTTAAAAATGACTGTCACTGCTCTGCATTTTGCTCTAGTGCTGGATACAAGTGTGGGGGCTGACAGATGGCCTTTCTCAGGCCAGTGGAGACCAGTGCACCTTGTAGGTGATGCCATTAGCTTCCTGACAGCCAAACAGCATGGAGCAATGCTCCTGACTCTGATCTAGTGGTAGCTCTGCAGGAGATGCAGCAAAAAGCATATGGTGGGGAGGGCTGAATCCAGCTGTAAGTGACTTCTCTTTCTGGAGATCACTTAGCCTGGTGAAGTGACTAGCTTCTCTGGTGATGAAGTGGTAATAGCAGTCCTTTTGCATGCTGTTAGAAAAACAAGAATATGCTGGCAGTGGTGAGGCAGTTGGGTATGATAGTAGCAGGCGCAAAAGTATTACTTACCATGGATTGATATGGAGGTACAATTAACACCCTTTTGAGTGAAGAGCTCTGCTTTCATTGCTTGCTTGTATTTTCAGTGAAAAAGCAGCAGGACCTGTCTCTCTAGCTGCATTCATAGAAGAGATGAGTGAGGCCCAGTCTTCTGACAAACTGGGCAAATGAAATTAAACTTGCTTTCCGTGCTACCCAAATATTCCAAATTTGACTGTCATGCACTCCTAAAAAGATTTAAAATCCAAATTCAGCAAAGAGGGAGTGACAGGGATGAAGGAAGAATGTCAGTGAAGACAAGGCGTAGCAGGGTGCTGTTTTGTTTCTATTCAGTCTAATCAATCTGGCTACTAGCTTCCTAATATTTAGAGCAGTAATCAATGAAGGAAAGTACTAGCTGGTGAATACTAGGAAAGCGTTCTTCATAAAACCTGAAATTTGTTTTGAAATCTTGTTCCAAGGGTTTGCTCATCCATTCATTGAGCTATACTTTCAGGCTAAACAAAATTTGTCTTTCTGTTTAAGAACAGCTTGTATTGTTCTGAAAACTATTCCCTCTTGCACCAGGACGATCATGTAGTATTAGAAGAATTCAGAGATGTTTTAGGTCTTCTGTAAATTCCCTGGTTTTCTTTTTTTCCTGCACAACAGGCCCCACAGAGGACGACCCAATGCTAGATTTCTTATTTCAAGATAGTGAAAAGTTACCATGATGTGCCAAGATATGTGTCCATAGTCATGCAAATGGATGCTGGAATAAAACACAGTGGTGTTTCTGCTGTGTCAAAGAGCATCGTTCAGGAGCACACAACCTAAAGCGTCTGCTCTACTGCTCTATAAAAAGTCTAGCTTTTAATTTCAAGTTCAGGCATTGCTTCATTTGAGTTGCAGAGTGAGAGCTGTGTCCTGCCATCTGTAGAAAATGTATCAAGAGCATGTAAGAATGAGAAAACTGATAGCCTGTAATAAGATCGTGTTGTATAAATAATGGTAGGGCAGATACATCTAGATTCAGGAAACATGCTTTCATGGCAGCAAAGCATCCCAAACTGCACACCATGGACATTACCCTGTCAAGTGCAATGCTGAGTGCTACATCACTGTAACAGTACAGAGATTTTTTTTTTTTTAAACTTATATATTAAACAACCAAGAGTCTTAAATGAAATGTCACATCTAATTTGGCACCCAAGACATGAAGTCTGCAGCTGCCCTTGGCCAACCCTGACAGCTTCACTCTCTGTATTAGTTCATCTGCCTGGCAGACAGATCTGCGGCTTCCTCCTGACTCACTGGCATCTGTGCACACTCTACTGTACTGAGTGATTTCTGGGTTTATATAGTCAGCTCGATGCCAAATACTTCTTTTTGTGGTAGAAGGTGCTCTGGCAAACCCTCGAGCCTTCAAAAGAGTCCTCGGTGCTTGCAGCCAGGAGCATAAGGGTGGCTGCATCCCCAGTTCCTGTCCAGGAGAGAAGCAATAGGGGATGTTTAGCAAAGCGTGTAGAAACAGGCAGTGCATATGTTTTTTTTCTCCCCTGTGGGCTCTGGAGTTAGCATTTTTCTGTGCTGGAGGCTTTATTCTCGTCTTTGTTTAATAGCTTCTGATGGTTTTATCTTCCAAGAATTTGTCCAGTTGCTCTCTGAATTTATGGCTGTTAGCCTCTACAGCCTCCTATGGCAGTATGCTCCAAAGGAAGGAGTATTCCCTGGAAAAGTACCACTACTTTTGTGTAATTTCTGACCAATAACATTATTTCAGGCCCTCAGGTTCCTGTTTTATGACAAATCACGACAAAGTTTTTCTTATTCACTTTTCCCAGGCCATTCAAGCTTTTACAAACTTCTCCCATCTATCTCCCATATGATTTCTAGGTTGGGGAATCCTATTTGGTCTTCATATAGAAGCTGCTCCATACCTAATTGTACTTTCTGCCCCTCTCTATTTAATTTCAAATGCTTCAACTTGGTTTTTGAGATCAGAACTATACCCAATATTTCAAGACCCATGTGACCATGGGTTTAGACAGTTAGATGATGATAATTTTAATGGTGTTTATTTTGTAGTAGTTTGTCGTCTTGATTGTTGTAGAGCATTAGCTCGTGTTTCCGTAAACCTGAGTTGTGCATGCTCGGAGCACTGTGCATGTCTTCCATTTCTTGGGTCCTGGCTCCTCTGCTTGCCAACATATGCTGAGGATTCAGTGAAGGGGAAAGTTAATGCTTGTAAAGTGTACCTGCCTCTGTAACTCTTCTGAACTTCAGTTATTTTTATATGCTAAATTGTCCATTATAGGAAGCAGATTGTCCAGTCATTGGAAACATTGCTGTTTTTCTCACAACGTAATTCATCTCTGGCCACAAATCCCTACTGCTCCAGACTCCCTTAAGAGCAAAGAAATTGGGGTTATACAGGCATGAAGGCTGAATTCTTGCCATGTGTGGAGATGAACGAATGTGGTTCTGTTGTGTTGTCTGGCTTGGGATTTAAGGAGTCCATCCAGCACACATCCAGCTCTCTCCTTGTGTTGTTGCATGGCAGCCTTTTAAAGGCAGGTCCATCCACTGGCTGTGAGGAGAAAGCTCTGCCTTTGCTGATCAATGCTCTCCAGCATATGGCCAGGTCACTGCACTTGTCAGTTGGGGCTGGCTCTGAGACTTTAAGCACCACTCCATAGAAGTGCTGTTTCTAGAGAGTGTGTCTGATGTTTGCTGTTATCTCACCTGGGAAACACTCACCCACAACAGGAGGAGTGGGCTTGGTACTGAGGTTTGAGCTCAGTTGACTCCTAGGAGTTACTGGGTTGGGAAGAATGAAGGTTTGAAGGCTGAGCTCTGGAGATGAGGAAGCCTGTGGTGGGAGTCTGTTCTGCAGGGTGAAATGCTGGCAGGTACTCCAGCAAGACTCCAGTCATTAATCAGTTGATGTGCACAGCCAGGGGCTCTCTCCTCTTCATCTCGGTCTGAGGTGGAAAACAAAGATGTCCTCACTCTGGATGTTGAATAGCTTGGAAATACTCAGTGTAGACTTGCACACTCAGGCATAGGCAACAGGATCCAGGCTGAAGAAATGGGCTTGCAGGACTGTAATGGGCAGGTTGGTGTGGGCCATGCCTCACCAGTCTTGTTTTGACTTATCTTCACAAACCCACAGCAATTGAGGGCACTGCTTCTATGACACAGTGAAGTTCTCTTCTGTGTGCCATCCTGCCGTGGGATGTTACTTCACTCGTTCTTCTGAACCTCCCTTTTCTGCCTGCACGCCCCCGGCATCTTTGTTTGTCAGCAACAAAGGATCAGGAGAGACACAACGCTAGTGGTGTGCCTGTAGGAGACCCTGGGCAAGCCATGACTCAGGTTGGACTCCTCATAGTCACCTGAATGACTTTGATGCAGAATTCCCTGTGACCTGAGTGGGATGGCAACCCAAAGGCCACCTGGGCACATCTGAAAAATCTCACTGTAAATATTGTCACCTTGGGGATAAATCTCTACAAACACACCCAGAAATAAGACGCTTAAGGTGGTGTCCTGGACATCCTTATGCTGTACACACGTAGCTGTCAGGATTTGAAAATGTACTGATCCGTGGAACTGCTAATACAGCTAAAAGCTGTAACACTTTCTTGTTACCTGTGTTTTGCTCCATTCCTTGTACTTCCATCAGCAAGCGAGATGAGCAAAGACCTCCCCTTTGCTTTGTTCCAGGTGAAGATATTCACACAAGCCTTTATGGAGCAGCTGTAGATGTCAACATCAGGCTAGACCGGAACTCCTTAACAGTTGAGAAGACTTACCTCACGCTGTCAAACCACAGATCTGTGGTCATCCACAATCGGAGTGAAATCATAGCCCACTTCCAGTGGAAGGCTTTTGTTACTCAGGAAGAGGAGGATCAGCAGAAGCTGAGGTTTGTTTGAAAGATTCATTTCGGTAAGGTACACTGCCCAAGGGTAAAACTAACATGCGGCCTCAAAGGGTTGTTGGTGCTTTTGAATGGTTTAGGGCAAGTAAAACATCCACAGTGTCAGGATATGTGTCACTGAGCTTCAGGGTAATAGAGCTCAGCACTTACTATTCCAGTTCCACCCATACTTCAGCTGAGGATGGTGTTTTGGGGAGGAAAGGTTCATTGCAGTGACTGGATAGCAAATTTGTGTTTTGTGGGAGCACAAACCACTGAGGTCCAGAGATCCCTGGGCTACAGAGGGTCCATGAGGCTGAGGAAAGCATCAGCACTTGTTACCTGGGACTTAATGTAGCTGCAGGTAACATAACTATTATGATAGTCACTGCCGTTTCTTCTACTCCAGCTCTGATAACATGGCAGGCTCCTTTTCCAGCAATGTGCAGGGTAGAGTGCTTCATTGGCTTAGAAAGTTGAGGCCACCCTGCTGTAGGGTGTTGAATTGCCTTGCACTGTCCTGGTTCTCAGCATAACGAGGTATTTCTGCCCTTCCTTACAAGCTGGGGAGAGTTTGGAGGTGGAGGGTTCTGCAGGGAAGGTAGGGCAGCACAGGATCTGGAAGTGCATTTGGGCTTCAGCAACCTGTGTCTTCACGGTAGTGAGAGATGGGGCAGGATCTTCAAAGGGTATCTTCGGTGAAGCTTTGAAACTCCCATTTCTGGCAGCAGAGAAACACAGCCTGGGGGGTGAATTGGAAATTACACTTAAAAGCTTGGGTGATTTAGGGAATCTTTCTGTGACTTTTCAGACTTGGAGGGATGTAGCTATATAGCAGTTAGTCTGAATCTATAGCTAATCAGGAAGCTGCCTTAAACTGGAGCACTTTTTAAGGGCTTATGAGCAAATAAAGTTCAACGTAATTAGGTCAGAAATGCCTTGAAGGTCAAAACTAGTTTTCCACTGTTTTCTATTTTTAATTACACAGTGTGTGACTTCTGTGCAAGCTCAATGTGTTAAAAGAAAATCTCATGACCTTCTCTTGGTACTTCCCTGGACCATTCCTTTACCATCTCTTCCCACCTGCTTGTCTCAGACTGGACCCTGAGTGATTGTCTTTCCCCTCAGAAGCAACCATGTTTCCCCACAGTAGACTTCAACCTGGTTTTTTTTCCAGTTACATTTGATCTCGTGCCAGTTTATGTCCTAGACACTGACCAGGACTTTTTGTTCTTCCTTCCTTGCAATCTGAGGGATGGTCATAGCTCCAAGGCCACTGTCCTGCTGTCAGAGAAGCTTTTGAGGTCTTGGAGCACGGAGGACTTTTTCATGAGAGAAGGCAGTGCAGGACCCCTGCACTGGGATGTGACCCAAAAAGACCTGAATTGTTAGAAGGTCTATCCAGGGGTTTGCTCTGTCTCCCTATTGCAGGACTTTCTGGGATGTAATGGTGGAATTATTGTCTGCTGGTGGAGGTTGAGTTAAGGGTTGCTTATCTTGGTGGCTGGAAGCCACCCTAATGCACAGCATTGTAGGTCAGCCATGGAGAAACATTTCCTATTGCACTCTACAGGGAGCTAGCCAAAGCAAGTATTTTTGGCTCTGGTGACAGCATTTGCCCGAGGCTCTGTCTGTGTGCAGCTAGTAATGTCCATGACTGTATCTCCTTTCTAACTGTATTTGAATTTAGCTGGGTGATGATTGCTATCCTGTTTATACTACATTGCCTCGATTTGCTGCATGTGGAGCCTTCCACTCACCCCCCTAGAGTTGTCACCTGCTGGTTCTTCATGCCCAGGGGACTGGAGCGTGAAGGGGGGACAGCAATGTGCCAGCTAGGAAGCAACTGCTCTGGTAGCAGTGCTCCCTCCTCATCTCTTGGTTGTGATCTTTAAACGTGAGAATGATTTCTGCTACAACTACCAAGTAAGGGAGAGATTAACTGTGTCAAAGCTCTGCAGAGAAGGCCAAAAAGGAGAAAGATAAGGTGGTTCAAGGTTAGACTAAAGGGTTTGGATTCAGAGGTGCTGGTCCTGACTTCTTTATTTGGTGATACTAGGCAAAGTCCCTTCCTTTCTCAGAGCCTCTGCTTTCTTGCATATAAAACAATTAATTTCACTGAGGCGATGTGATGCCTGAATTCATTAGTTTGATTTTAATGTGCTCTAGGATCCTCTGGTGGAAGGCAGTATAAGGAACAGAGAGCAGATATTGTTTGCTTATGCCTGCAAGTCCAAAAGGGAAGAAAAAAGAGTGGTGCTAGTGACCTGCAGCTGAAACCCAGCTGCTTCTCCCCTTCCCGGTGAAGCACTGCAGTGGGTGCTCCTTGATCTTTATCTGCCTCCCACATCAGCTCAATGGTAGGGAAACCCAGTTG